GAGACCTGGGGTGTTTCTAGAAGCAACAATCCCCATGCTTTTACTGCAGCTTTTAATATTAAATAGACAATTCGACCCAGCAATTAACTGGAACTTTCTTAACTGCAAATAGCTCAAACATTTATTTATTTATTTATTACGTAGAAAGAAAGATCTAGGAGCAGAAAACATCATACGCCAAAACAACCAAACACCAAACAACCTTCCCTTCGCTTCCGATAAGGGATGACCAGGCTGACAACACTCACCTTCCCTCAGTGCTTCATGACATGAGGATTTCCCTTCCCTTTCCACAACTGCACAAAGTAACTGCAAAGACAGGAGAAAAGCACACTCTGAGGCACCTCACAGCCACAGCGTACCTGCTGCAATACCTCTCTCTGTACCCAGCTCTGGCACTTCAGCTGCTCACCAGCTCTAACAGAGATTCTTCGCTCACAGCACCACAGCAAGCTCCAACCGGGCCACACAACACAAGCTACATTGCCTAAGACACACAAGCTGGAACGTTCCCACCCAACAATCAGTCACATCACACAGGAAGGCTGCTGCACACTCCTAGAAACCAAACCTACCAGTCCTGAGCAGCTCCCCGCATCCTCCTGCCAACCATGCTCATCACACACACTATTCACCCCTCAAAAAAAAAAAAAAGTTAGAACATACACACACACACACAAAAAAAAAAAAAACAAAGCTCCACAAATGCCAAAAAGACATGCGCACACAGCAGCCCTGGCAGGGGTAATCACAGACTTACCCTTTGCAGATGAAAAGGTGACTCTGATACAACTCTGCTCAGTCTCTTGGTAATGCTGCATCTACGCTGTCAAGCCACAGGTACCACGCAATCAAGCTGGTTTTAGTCCTCTGCAGAATAAAACGAGTGGGTTTATACGTCTAGAGATTAAAGTGCAGCTCAAAAACAGAGGAGTACCCTACCATCCTAAAAAACAATAAGCCACAAACCTCTACTAAACGTCCCTCTATTAAGTGAATTCCAAGCACTTAAAAATTCTAGAAATCTATAGACTCCAGCCTGCCTAGAGAACCCTGCAACTGACTGAAGGAAAAACAAAGCACTTACCCCAAGGAGCAGCCCATGCAGAAGGAGCTCTCTAATGCCATGCCTGGGGCTCATATACCATTTGGCCCCGCCCAGCACCCAAACCCAATCACCTGGAAAAAGGGAGGGGCAAAGCACAAGGAAGTAGAAAGAAAGCAGGAGCAGAAGCAGCTGTTTTTTATTATTTTCTTTGTTTTTTTTATAAGATCTGGTTTACTTGAAAAACATGCAGAAAGCAGACAGGTGACCTAGGGTGTTTCTAGAAGCAACAATCCCCATGCTTTTGCTGCAGCTTTTAACTTTGAAAGGACAACACGACCAGGCCAGTAACTGGAACTTTTTGAAATGGAATTACGTCAAACAGGTTCATCATCACTTGCAAAAACAGAGAACCAGCATTCACTAGCACGCCAGCCCTGACACCCACCTCCTCCGCAACGCTGACTACTACTGATGCAACATGCTACTGTGCAATACCTCACTGTTCCCAGCTCCTTTACCTCAGCTGCTCACTACATTTACCTGAGAAGTGTGCCCGAACAGACTTATTCTGCAGAGATGAAGAAGGTGGCCCTGCTCACTCTCTAGGCACTACTGCACTTATGCAGTCAAGGAACCATACCCCACGGTTTCCCAAAAACAATGTACCTTGCAACCCCTCATAAACGTTCTTCTAATATGTCATTTCAAGGACATAAAGCCTAGAAGGCTGCAAGGTCTAAAGACTCGACAGACAGAAAACACACAGGCAAAAGCTCCAGAAATATAACAACCTGTCCCTAAACTTGAAACAGACTACCCCTTACGTGCCCACTGCTGCCATTTTCAAACACATGCTCACACCGGGAGCCTCCATCATACATTTCTCCTAAACCCTGCTCCATGTCTTTAACAGCACGGTTGTAACTTTGATAATATTTGACATACAGGCAAAGAATCACAGAAAGCCCCGTAATTCTGCAAAAATCAGAAGGGACCCAGAACCACAAAGCAAACACACAAAGTAACATCACCATACTATCCGTAAAACTGCTATAACTACTCACCTGAGGAAAAGCTGCGTGCAATACAGGCACATAGTACTACTAGATTGCTTTACAGTGACAGATCCTACCAGTTACCAACTCAAAAAGATATGCGTACTAGTTTCTACTGGAAAACGCATCAGTCCATAGACTCTGACCCACCTAAAGAACCCTGCATCTGACTGAAGGAAAAACAAAGCACTTACCCCAAAAACCAGCCCAGGCAGAATGAGCTCTCTCATGGAATACCTGCAACTCAGTTACCACTAGGTCCCACCCGGAACCTGAAGCTAATCACCTGGGAAAGTGCAAGGGGAAAGCACAAAAAAAAACAAACAAACAAAAAAACCAGAAAGGAGCAGTAGCTGTGATTTCTTTATTCATTTATATGGCTTAGCTCAACAGCATGCAGAGTGAAGACAGGAGAACTAGGGTGTTTCTAGAAACAAAAATCCCCATGCCTTTGCTGCAGCTTTGAATATTAAAAGGACAAACTGACCAAGAAAGTAACTGATTTTTCCATCTGGAATTAGCTCGATGTTTTATTTACATAAAAAGAAAAATCTAGGAGCAGAACAGATTACATGCCAAAAAAAAATTAATTCCATTCCACTCGCAGGAAAAATCACTTACTTCAGTAGGCTACCTGAGAACCACAAGGCTATGCTGATGGGTCAAAACACACTACAGGACAATGGGTCCAGGCCCTCCGCTGCACCCACTTAAAACCCATCCCTACACTCACCAAGGTGCAACCCCAACACTAAAAAAACAGACACAGCATTTCAGCACCTGCTTTGTTCTGATTCTAAAGACTAACGCCACAGCCCACATTGCCTGGGACACCTGATAAACAGAAGAGAAAGCAGCCATACCGTTTTCCAGCCATCCCTGCACGTGTCGCTCCTTGATCATCTGCAACCTCTTCTCAAATTCTCAACCGCTTCTATGGAGAGCCTGCCATGGCACCTGCAAAGCAAGATGGATACCCTTCGCACTCACCTCGTGCTACTTGGCTGTTCTGCTCCAATCCAGCTCACAACCAGCCCGCCCTTCTCGTGCTGCTCTTCAGAGTGCAGCTTGGCCCCACTCGGCCTGTGCGACACACCTGTGAAACAAAAAGAAAAGCATAGGCTGAAGCAGCATCCAAAGCCACAGCACAGTTGGGACAGTTACTCTCAGCTGCGCCCTCCCCTCCCCTCAAGGCAGATGCTTCCATCTGCTTTCTTAAGCCAGCTACAACACCCCTGAAATATAAACAGGATTTTTACTGTACTTGGTGTAGTTAAGTAACTGCAGTGACAACTGCACCACTAAATTACCTTCTATATCTGTTCATCACTCACCTTGCCAAAAGCAGCTCTGGTCGTCAAGTCCCGTGTTGTACACTGTGTTTCAGCTTTAACAACTGAAAACAGACACAAGAGAATCAATCATTCAGCTGCCAGCATTAGCACCCATCCCTCAACAACACAAAGGGACCCCATTTACAATATTATCATTTCAAAACAGCAGCCCCCTTGCCTCAGCACCTCAGAAGTAGATCAGGCCAGTCACCAAGTTGCCTACCGAGTGCTGAACAGTTCCAGAAGGAGCTCTTTCCTGTGACAGGTTCCTCCAAGGGTTTACACTCTACTGGGGACAGGAAGGAAATAAAAATAAACATTTCAAAACCCCATATCTGTAAGCTTTCAAGATTCAACAGACCTCCTCAAGCACACCATTCAAGTACTATGCAAGCACAGCTGCTCGCAAGCAGCTCAACTCTCCCACCCCCAACATCTGCCACACACCACAGAGATGACTGTGCCAGCTGCCCTTCAGTACGTGCCCAGAGGCAGACCGGATGTCTTCGCCAAAACAGTCCAGACAATGTATTAGCTCACCCATGCACTGCCACGTTACCTGTCATCACTAACTGCCAGGCAGGACAGCTCCAGTCCAAACACATACACACAGGCACGCCACAAACACTACAAACAAAACACACAACACTAGGCGCAAGAAAAAGCGACCCCCAGGGGAAAGCCCTACGGCAACAGCAAGACAGAACAGGTGCTCTGCACCAGACCCTACGAGAGACTCAAATGTAATGACACGCGACTGGAAGCAACTGCCAGAACTGGGATGATGGAGGCCTAAAAAGCTTGCCTTCAAGACAAGAGACCAGAAGGATGGGGAGTGAAAACCCCATAAGACGACGCTTAGGGATTCAATTCCCACGCAAGAGCTCCTGATGCGGCCCAGATGACTTCCACATCTGTTTCTATCCTCACTCTTGTGATCTCAAACCGAATATGATGCACAAGACCTGAAACAGATCTGCATTTCAAGCAGTGACTTAAAGACAAAAAGTGCTCGCATCGGCCCTACGATGATGAAACAAGTATTTAGGGCCTTTGGTGTGGCTACAAAGTTGCACATCTTGTCTGTCCAGTGGAAGAAGGCAATGAGAATATCAAGACCTGAGGAGCACATAACATGATGATCATATCAGGAAATGTTTGATACAAAAGCTATTAATCGCATAGTAGAAGTGATCCCCTTAAGCTCCCACTGCAACACAAGCGTTGCTCAGCTCCCAGTTCAACATCAGCATTATTCTGAGGAGGTCAAGTGTTCAATTCCTTTGGGATGGCTTCCCCAGGGCCTGCCGGGCACCAAGAGCAACAGCACAGTACAGCACAGACAACACAGATGACAAGCTGGGACTGCCCTGACTGGCACACGCTCACACTGTACATGACAGAACTCCCCACACATAATCTCTCTGCCTGACCTGATCAATCCTGAAAGGCCCCATCCAAAGCAATGACTTAAAAGCACAAACCCTCACCCTATGGGTGCATTCACAACCCCAACTCAAACATAGCATTTGCCCCCCCCGACCCCCCCCCAAATTAGCTTGGGAATGCTGGGAGGCAGGTTCCATCCTCACCAAGGAACACAAAGGCCAGCCAGGACATTGCTTCAGGCACAAGGCTCCTCTTCGCCTGCAGAAATGAAGTGCCATCAGGCACCAGCACACTAGCCGAATTTCTTCCAGTGAAACAACCTCCTCAGAAACAAAACAGTAATCAACTGACCTGCTCTGCTACTGAAATCAGATAGACACCCTTTAAACAACTCCCCACCTCCCTCTGCCAACCACTCCACAACACACAGTATTTCCCCCTGGACTTAATTCTCAGGGCTCAGAATCCACTATCAATGTGCACCACAGAGGCCAGCTAGGATGTTCCCAGGACCTTCTTCGTCCCTGCAAAAGAGGAGACACCCGGAGGTGCACCAAGAGACTACTACAGCAAAAACAATACCCGTTTTCCAACTTTTCTCCACTCACCTTCCCGATCCAGGCTTAGCGCTTCCATTCACTGTGCTGAGCCAAGGTCACGGGGCTTAGTCCAAGAAGAACAGAAACGTGACAATCCACAAAACAGTCTATACCCACTCCTTTCATCCCCTGCTGCAACAGCCAAGAAGCCCCAGAGCCACGTGGCCGAACCCAGTACCACCGCTTCACTCACCTAACATCCCCAGGAGATGCATCGTGCTCCCAGCTCCTCTTGTGCTCCGAGCATCTCCAGCATTTCAGGAACTGGAACCGCTGACGTCTGGCACATCTCAGAAACGTGGCAGGAGACGTACTCTGCTGTCGCAAGGCACTTGCAAAGCCGGCCCGACAGGTGAAGCAGAATAACACAGCCCACCGACCAACTCGGGGCCCCCACTGCTGTCCACTCACCCTCATGCTTCGTTCAAGTTTCCGTGCCTATGCCCTGAGCTACAAGAAACAAAGAGAGAAGGTCACAACCACGATGGATACGCAAACAGTGCAGCTCCTAGCAGAGGACTCAAACACAGAGACCAGAGACAGACAAACAAAAAAAACCCTCAAGTCCAAAAATGCCGAAAGGCCATGAATGCATAGCAGCCCCGGCAGGGGTAATGACAGACATGCCCTTTGCAGATGAAAAACGTGACCCTGCTCAGTCTCTTGGTAATACTGCACCAACGCAGTCAAGCCTCTTCTAACATGTAATCAAGCTGGTTTTAGTCCTCTGGAGAGTTACACAAGTGGGTTGATTCATCTGGAGATTAAAATACAAATCAAAAACAGAAGCGTATCCCACCATCCCAAAAAACAGTGAGCCAGCAACCTCTACTAAATATCCCTCTATTAAGTGAATTCCAAGCACTTAGAATTCCAGAAACCCATAGACTCCAGCCTGCCTAGAGAACCCTGCAACTGACTGAAGGAAAAACAAAGCACTGCCCCCAAAGAGCAGCCCAGGCAGAAGGAGCTCTCTCATGGCATACTTGGGGCTCATATACCTTTTGGTCCCACCCAGCACCCAAACCCAATCACCTGGGAAAGGGGAGGGGCAAAGCACAAGAAAGTAGAAAGAGAGCAAAAGAAGCAGCTGTGTTTTTTTTTCCTTTTTTTTTTTTAAATCTGTTTTATCTCAAAAAAATTCAGAGAGCGGACAAGAGACCTGTGGTGTTTCTAGAAGCAAAACTCCCCTTTTGCTTTTGCTGCAGCTTTTAATGTTGAACTGATAATGTCACCAAGCAAGTAACTGAAACTTCTTCAACTGGAATTAGTTTACACACGCTCACTGTCATCTGCAAACACTGAGAACAAGCATTCACAAGCCCTAACCCTAACCCCAACCCTCACCCTAAACTCTAACCCTAGCCCCAGCCCTAGTCCCTAACCCCAACCCTAGTTCCTGAGAACTTCATTTCCCGGTATGCTCTGGGCACCCAAGATGGCCTCCCGGAAGTTCGGAGTCCGAGAACTACATTTCCCGGTATGCTCCGGGCACCCAACATGGCCTCCCGGAAGTTCAGAGTCCGAGAACTACATTTCCCGGTATGCTCCGGGCACCCAACATGGCCTCCCGGAAGTTCGGAGTCCCAGAACTACATTTCCCGGTATGCTCCGGGCACCCAACATGGCCTCCCGGAAGTTCGGAGTCCCAGAACTACATTTCCCGGTATGCTCCGGGCACCCAACATGGCCTCCCGGAAGTTCAGAGTCCCAGAACTACATTTCCCGGTATGCTCCGGGCACCCAACATGGCCTCCCGGAAGTTCGGAGTCCGAGAACTACATTTCCCGGTATGCTCCGGGCACCCAACATGGCCTCCCGGAAGTTCGAAGTCCCAGAACTACATTTCCCGGTATGCTCCGGGCACCCAACATGGCCTCCCGGAAGTTCGGAGTCCCAGAACTACATTTCCCGGTATGCTCCGGGCACCCAACATGGCCTCCCGGAAGTTCGGAGTCCCAGAACTACATTTCCCGGTATGCTCCGGGCACCCAACATGGCCTCCCGGAAGTTCAGAGTCCAAGAACTACGTTTCCCGGTATGCTCTGGGCAGTCAACATGGCCTACCGGAAGCCTGGTGCCGGAAAACTACATCTACCAGAATTCCCTGGGCAGCCAGAATGGCCAATCAGAGGCCGAGTTTTCGAGTACTACATTTAACAGCACTCACTGTAACCCTAGCCCTTACCGCCCTTACACAAAAAAGCCTCAATCCCTAACCCTAAAAATCCTCGAAACCTCGACAGACCTAACCCTAACTATTTACCGCACTAAACCCCTGAAGACCCATGCCTACAACCCCTAACCCAATAAATTAGGACGCTCAATTCCCAAACCCACAAAATTAAGATGCTCAAATCCCAAACCCAAAGAAATAGGACGCTCAAATCCCAAACCCCCTTCCGATAAAGAAAAAGAATATAAGAAAATAAATCAAACAAAACAAAAACAACAAAAGGGGTAGACCTGGTGGCATCTGCCCTGTAACCCTGCAAAAATTACGAGGGACCTAGAACAACAAAGCAAACACACAAAATAACATTGACATCCTATCCATAAAAGTGCTATAACAATTAATCACCTCCAAAGAGCTTCATGCAATAAATGCACATACTACTAGATTGGTTCTCTCTAAAAGATCGCACATGACTCTGACCCACCAAAAGAAACCTGCATGTAGCTAACAGAAGAATAAATAAAGCACTGGGCGGGGCTCTATAACATTTGGCCCCACCAGCACCCAAACCCAATCACCTGGGAAAGAGGAGGGGGCAAACCACAAGAAAGAGAGTAGCAGCAGCAGCAGCTTTGTTCTTTTATTTATTTATTTTTTTTCCCCTATCCCCAGTTTACAGCATGTGGAGTGCAGACAAAAGAACTGCAGTGTTCTATAGAAGCAAAATTTACAGTATTTTCGCCTCAAAAAGGACAATACAACCAAGAAAGAAAATGAAATATTTTCAACGGGAATTAGCTAAACCTTTCATTTACATATGAAGAAAAATCAAGGAGCGTAGGAAATTACACATCAAAAAAGAAAGAAGAGATGTAATAAGCTACGCGCATGCGTGCCCCCCGGCCGCCTGCACTACCGCGTTCCCACCAGCAGGTGGCGGCAGAGGGCGCCCGCGGGCGCCACCGCGCATGCGCGCCCCCCGGCCGCCTGCAGTACCGCTTTCCCATCAGCAGGTGGCGGAAGAGGGCGTCCGCGGGCGCCACCGCGCATGCGCGGCACCGACTGCCTGCAGTACTCTCTTTCTGCCAGCAGGTGGCGGCAAAGGGCGCCCGCAGGCGTCACCACGCATGCGCGCCTCCCGGCCGCCTGCAGTACTCTTTTTCTGACAGCAGGTGGCGGCAGAGGGCGCCCGCGGGCGCCACCGCGCATGCACGGCCCCCGGCCGCCTGCAGTACCCCTTTCCCACCAGGCGGTGGCGGCAGAGGGCACCCGCGGGCGCCACTGCGCATGCGCGCCCCCCGGCCACGTGCAGTACTCATTTTTAGCCAGCAGGTGGCGGCAGAGGGCGCCAGTGGGCGCCACCGCGCATGCGCGGCCGCCGGCCGCCTGTAATACTCGCTTTCTGCCAGCAGGTGGCGGCAGAGGGCGCCCGCGGGCGCCACCACGCATGCGCGCCTCCCGGCCGCATGCAGTACTCTTTTTCTGACAGCAGGTGGCGGCAGATGGCGCCCGCAGGCGTCACCGCGCATGCGCGGCCCCCGGCCGCCTGCAGTACCCCTTTCGCAGCAGGAGGTGGCGGTAGAGGGCGCATGCGGGCGCCACCGCGCGTGCTCGGCAGCCGGCCGCCTGCAGTACTCATGTTCCACCAGGCGGTGGCGGCAAAGGGCACCCGCGGGCGCCACTGCGCATGCGCGCCCCCCGGCCTCGTGCAGTATTCATTTTCCGCCAGCAGGTGGCGGCAGAGGGCGCCAGTGGGCGCCACCGCGCATGCGCGGCCGCCGGCCGCCTGCAGTACTCTTTTTCCACCAGCAGGTGGCGGCAGAGGGCGCCCGCAGGCGTCACTGCGCATGCGCTGCCCCCGGCCGCCTGCAGTACTTCCTTCCCACCAGGCGGTGGCGGCAGAGGGCGCCCTCGGGCGCCACCGCGCATGCGCGTCCGCCGGCCGCCTGCAGTACTCATTTTCCACCAGCAGGTGGCGGCGGAGGGCGCCAGCGCGTGCCACTGCGCATGCGCGGCCGCCGGCCGCCTGCAGTACTCATTTTTTACCAGCAGGTGGCGGCAGAGGGCGCCTGCAGGCGTCACCGCGCATGCGCGCTTTCCGGCCGCCTGCAGTACCCCTTTCCCGCCAGCAGGTGGCGGCAGAGAACGCCAGCGGACGTCACCGCGCGTGCTCGGCCGCCGGCCGCCTGCAGTACTCGTGTTCCACCAGCAGGTGGCGGCAGAGGGCGCCCGCGGGCATCACCGCGCATGCGCGTCCGCCGGCCGCCTGCAGTACCCCTTTCCCACCAGCAGGTGGCGGCAGAGGTCGCATGCACGGAAAGCACGAAAAAGCAAAAAGAGGAGGAGCAGCAGCTGGGGTTTATTTATTTATTTATAAGGCTTAGCTCAACAGCATGCAGAGTGCAGACAGGAGAACTGGGGTGTTTCTAGAAACAAAAATCTCCATGCTTTTGCTGCAGCTTTGAATAGTGAAAGGACAATACAACCAAGTAAGCAACTGATTTCTTTTTCCGTCTGGAATTACCTCGATCTTTACTTACCGCCCTTACACAAAAAAGCCTCAAGCCCTAACCCTAAAAATCCTCGAAACCCCTACAGGCCTAACCCAAACTATCCACCACACTAAATCCCTGAAGTCCTATGCCTCAAAGCCCTAACCCAAACACTTAAGACGCTCAAATCCCAAACCCACAAAATTAAGACGCTCAAATCCCAACCCCCCAAAAAATAGGACGCACAAATCCCAAACCCAACCCAAAATATTAAGACGCTCAAAACCCTAACCCACGAGAACCTAACCTGAAAAAAAAAAATTAAGATCTTAAAACCCTAACCGTAAATAACTGACCAAAAATAAAACCCTAAGAACCTAACCCTAAAAAATCTATCAACACTACAACCCAAAAAACTCTAAAACCCTAACATGCTAACCCTGAAACCCTTAAAACCCTAACCCTCAAATCCCTAAAATCCTAACCATTAAAACTCCAACCCTAAAACTAAAAACCTTAAAATCCTAAACATAAACCCTGAGAACGCTTACCCTGAAACCCAACCCTAGGCCTCTATCCCTGAAACCTTAAAACCGCGAATCAATCTTTGGGAAATAACATAGGCTCAGGAGAGGATCTCAGTACAGTAGCATTTTTATTTGAGATTACAATGGCGGGGGTCCCGCAAGCAGGAGGGCGCCTACTAATTCCATACACAGTTTATATACTTTTTTTTTCCCCTCCCAAGGACCAGGACCCTCCCCTGTTTCCCCATTAACTGTGCAATCCAGGTTCATACTCTATCTGGTGCTTCACCGAAAACACACAGCTGCTGGCCTGTTACAAGTCACATTTCTTTTGAGGCTTTTACTGTTTGAGGTGGTAATGTTTCTTACACCGTGATTTCCACTTAATTGTTGTAAGGATTCTGGTTGTCTGCATTTTACAAGGTTGTCTGTTGTAATAAACGACTAAGTCCCAAATAGGATTACAATCAAAGTTTACAATGTATTAAATGAATAGAGGTAAGCAAACAGCACTGGGTGCGCCGGGAGTCTCTGCTCCACCGAGACGCACACAAGTTACATCAGGAGGCTGGTTTTTATGCTCCTAGGCTAATACATATTCGTTACTACTTCTAGAAAAGGCAGGGTTATTATAATTAGTTCCTGGAATCCGAACCCGCCCACTGGCGCATGTGTTACCAGTCTCTGGTGGTCCCTCTGCGGGTCTCTCGTACCGAAGGCTCATAGTCTTCCTCCCAGGCTTTTCCCTTGTCCTTCTCCTTTGTCCATCTTGGCTGGATGTCAGAGACTTGCATAGTGCCCCATGCAATAGTCATAACAGTTAGCAGTTATTCTGAAACCCCTTTATTCTCTTATCCCCTATTAAC